GCCTCCGCGCAGTGGCGGTCTGCGCCCTGCTGGCTGCGGCAGCCGCAGCGCGCGGCGCCGCCTTCGCAGGCGCGCGGCGTGCGGGGCGCGGCCCGGAGCGCTTCACCCAGAGGTGCGTCTGTGTCTGTGTCTCTGTGCGCGTGTGTGTGTGTGTGTGTGTGTGTGCGTGTGTGTGTGTGTGCGTGTGTGTGTGTGTCTGTGTGTGTGCGCGCGCGTGTGTGTGTGTGTGCGCGTGTGCGCGTGTGTGTGTGTGTATGTGTGTGCGTGCGTGTGTGCGTGCGTGCGTGCTCGTGTGCGTGTGTGTGTGTGTGTGTATTGAGTTGCCCTCGCCAGCTCCACCGACGGGAGCGCCGCCTGTGGCGGCCCTCACTACGCCGCCCGAGCTGCCATGGAAGGGCTTCAGTGGACAAGCACACGTTGGCGTTGATACACGTTCTGAGGGTCATCGTCAATTTCTCGAGAAGGAGGGTGAGGAGGGGGAGGAGGAGCCGGAGGGGGGAGGAGGAGGAGGAGGCGGAGGAGGAGGAAGAGGAAGAGGAGGAGCTGGCTGGTCCTGTGAAGCAGGCGCTCAGGACGTTTTGCATTTCATCGTCGACGCGAGCACTCGTCTCCCCATACCTTCTGAGCCCTTCCGGCGTCTGAGCCCATTCGGCTGCCGGATGTAGGATCGAGTCCGTTCGGCTGCCGAGCGGCAGATTTCCACCAGCAGAGTTCCCAGCGCCCTCTGAGAATTGAGCCCACTCGGCTGTCCACTCGGCGGCCAGATGGGCTGAGACGCCGAATGGGCTTTAAACGGAACCCTGGGATTGCTGAGCTTGCGCTGGCAAAGAACAAACGCACGCACACACATACGTACACACATATAACTACATACGCATATACACATACATGTGCATCTGCATGTACGTTCCCTTCACATGTACATGTACGTGCACATGCACACTTGCACTTACAATTAAATGTAACATTGCATTTCAGCATACATCTGCCCATACACATGTGCACATGTAAATACATTTGTGTATGGCCTGTGTCTATGTCAATATATATATATATATATATATATATATATATATATCTGAAAGGGCGTTCTGTGGTCGCTTGGAGGGGGGGGGGGAACCGGACACCCCCCCCTCACCTGCTTCCCCTCTCCTCGGGCCGGCGCTTGCGTCGGCGGCGGCTGGCGGCGGCGACGGGGACGACGGTTTTCTTTTGTGGGCGGGCGCCGGCGCCTGCGGCGGCAGGCGGCGGCGGCGTAAAACGTCGACGAGGATGACGGAGGTGGTGGTGGTGGGTTGTGGTGGTGGTGGTTGTGGTGGTGGGTGGTGGTGGTGGTTTGGTGGTGGTGTGGTGGTGGTTTGTGGCGGTGGTGGTGGTGGTGGGTTGTGGTGGAGGTGGTGGTTTGGTGGTTGTGTGGTGGTGGTGGTTTGTGGTGGTGTTGGTGGTGGGTTGTGGTGGTGGCGGTGGTTTGTGGAGGTGGTGCTGCTGGTGGTGTTGGTGGTGGCGATGGTGGTGGTGGTAGTGGTGTGGTGCTGGTTTGTGGTGGTGGTGGTGGCTTGTGCTGCTGGTACTGGTGGTGGTTGTGGCGGTGGTGGTGATGGTGTGGTAGATTGTGGTGGTGGTGGTGGTAGTGGTGGTGTGTTTTTGTGGTGGTGGTGGTGGTTGTGATGGTGAGTTGTGGTGGTGGTGTTTGTGGTGGCTGTGGTGGTGGTGTGGTGGTGGTTTGTGGTGGTGGTGGTTGTGGTGGGTTGTGGTGGTGGCGGTGGTTTGTGGAGGTGGTGGTGGTGGTGGTGGTGGTGGCGGTGGTGGTGGTGGTGGTGGTTGGTTTGTGGTCGGTTCGGTGGGTTGTGCTGCTGGTAGTGCTGGTGGTTGTGTGGTGGTGGTGGGGGTCGTGTGGTAGAATGTGGTGGTGGTGGTAGTGGTGGTGGGTTGTGGTGGTTTGTGGTGGTTGTGATGGTGAGTTGTGGTGGTGGTGGTTGTGGTGGTGATGGTGGCTGTGGTGGTGGTGGTGGTGGTTGTGTGGTGGGTTGGTGGTGGTGGTGGTGGGTTGAGGCGGTGGTGGTTGTGGTAGTGGCGGTGGTGGTAGTGGTGGTACTCATCGCTGCGTCCCCGCCGTCGCCGGCGCCAGCGCCGGCGCTGGTGGCCGCCGTCAGCGCCGGCGCCGGGGGGTTTCAACCCCCCCCCACCCGGCGCGCTAAGTGGGGGCGGGTTCAACCCCCCCCTTCCCTTTGGCTGCCTCTGGTCATCGTCGCTGCGTCCCCGCCGTCGGCGCTGCTGGCGGCCGCCGGCGCCTGCGCTGGCGCCGAGGGGGGGGGAGGGTTGCACTCCCCCCCCCTTGGGATGGGGGAGGGGGGAAGGGGGGTTCGGGAGGGGGGGGGGGGTTCGGGGGGAGGTGAGTCCCTTCGGTTTTGATCGACGGCGCCGAGTTTTGGGGGGGGGGCCACCCCCCGGTTCGAAACGCGCCGCCGAACATTTTTAAGGCACTCTCGTTCTCTCTCTCTCTCTCTCTCTTTCTCTCTCTCTCTCTCTTTTTCTCTCTCTCTCTCTCTCTCTCTCTCTCTTACATGAATATGTATAGATGTGTACAGATGCATGTGTATAGTCATGCTTGGAAGCACCTATCTATGTGTTGCTGATTGAGAGATGCCCGATGATCGGAAGTTCTCTGGGTGTCGCCCCCTAGAGCAGCGTCTCGAGCCACAGGGCCGCGAGGCGTCGATCTGGGACGAACCTCCTGCCAGGTAGGGACCCCGGAGGGGTCCAGGGATTGTCTGTTCAGCGGTTTCGAGGGGGGAGGGGGGAGCAGGAGGCGGAGGTTCCGCCCTCCTTTCTCTCCTCTCTTCTTCCTCCCCCCTCCCTCCTCCCTTTCCTCTGCTTCTTCCTGCTGGCCCTCGCTCCCTGTAGTCGTTCTGCCCCCCTCCGCCTCCATTTAGCTCTTCCAGCCCCTCTTCTCATTTCTCCTCCTTCGCGCTCCCTCATCGTCTTCTCTCGCCTTTCTCGTCAGCCCCCTCCCCTCCCCGTTTCCTCTGGGGACTCGGACGGACAGATGGTGACGCATTCTGCCTCGGACCTCTTATGCTCCGCCCCCTCCCCACTTCCCCCCTCTCCAGAGTCCCCCCCCCTCCCCTCAGAGCCCGCCCCCCCCCCCGCCTCCCTCTCCAGAGGCCCCAGGAGGTGTCTGACGGCACCCAGAGGCCCGCGGGGGACTGGAGGCTCCGAGAGGGCCGACCGTTGCTGCTGGATGAGGCGGGGGCCGCAGCTTGTGGCCCCAGGCTCGAGCGTTGACGGTGCTGGTGCGGCGGGCTCGTCTCGTGTCGACGCGGCGGCGGACCCAGCGTTCGGTACGATCGAAATGTGACTGGGCGAAGGAGGAGGGGGAATGGGCGGGTGAGGAGGGGGCGGGAGGCCCTTCCTCCTCCTCTTCCTCCTCCTCCTCCTCCTCCTCCTCCTCCTCCTCCCTGGCCTCCTCATTTACACAATCTGAATACTAGTCTCCTCTCTCTCCTGACTCTATCCGGAGTCTCCCGTCCTCTCCGCGCATTGGTTTCTTACGAACAGGATTTCATTACTTGTTTTGTCCGATGTGTTTTGCCAATCCGGCCGTTTCCGGTTCCTCTGCAGCGCTGGCCTCGTTCCCGCGCCTCCCGTTGTTCCACATCGTGTTTCCGCAGCAGCACTGGCGTGTTCGGTCCTTCCGAGTAGCGCTGTCGCTGTAGCACTGGCCTCGTTCCAGTGCTGCGGTCCTCTCAAATCGTGTTCCCCCTGCAGCGGTAGCCTCATTCCCGTTTTCGGTCCTGGCCTCGCTCCCGCGCTCCAGCCCTTCGAAATCGCGCTCCCGCTCCAGCGCTGGTTTCATCTCCGTGGGTCCTGGCCTCATTCCCGCGCTTCCATCCTTCCAACATCGGGCAGGAACGGGTGCCCAGGACAGGGAGCCGGCATTCCGGACAGGCCCTGTCCTCTATTAAACGGGCCCTTTACTCTCCAAGTCATCCGGTGTCATGCCACGGCATGCAATGCGATGTTGTGTTATGCACCGTTGTGCGATGCCATGCTTTGCGTTGCCATGCTTCTGCGATGCAAGGATTCACCACGCAATGCCATGCTATGACATGCTATGCTCTGCCGTGCTCTTCCACGCCATATTTTTCTCCTCCTCCCCGTCCTCCTCACCCTCCCCATCCTCCTCCGCCTCCTTCTCCTTCCCCCCTCCACCTCCTCCTCCTGCTCCTCCTTCTTCTCGTCCTTCTTCCCGTCCACGGAAAGATTTGGGCTCGAAGATTAACAGCGGTTCCTGTTTATTTGAGACAGAAGGCCGTGTGCCCAACAGCGGCCGTTGTCGGGTTTGGAGAACATCTGCTGTTGGGCATCGTTCACAGTTTTCCGTGCCCATTTTGGGCGTCCAAAGGCGCAGGCTTGCAAGGTTTGAACGCCGCCAGTGGCCCAGAAACGGCCGACATCGAACGATCTGCGCTGTGGGGAAGCCGCGATCTTTCCAGACCTCCCGGATGGGTTCCGAGCAAGCTGGGTCGGATGATCGCGCCTTCTGGCCGATGCATCGGGGAGGCGGCTCGACGTGGAGTCCGATTTTCTCTACGCCGACGGCGCCGATGCATCGCCGGCGGCGTCGCTGATACATCAGCGATGGGAGGCGTTCCTCCAACCCCGTCTACTCGGACCCCATCTAGGAGGACTCTACCAGCGGAGGCGTTCAAGGTTGAACGCCGCCAGTGGCTCGCCAGCGGCCAACATCGAACGATCTGCGCTGGTGGGACGCCGCGATCTCTCAGGATTGAACTATCACCGCAGCGTCAGAAACCGACGCCGAAGTCGCCACGACACGAACCTGCCGTAAGACTGTGCCGCCGGCATGTCGTCAACATCGTCGTTTCTAGTCGTTCGCAGTGCATGGCACGCTCGGCCTTTGGCGCGACCACGCCTGCCTAGCGAACGTCGGTGTGGGGAGGCCTGGACAGCGCAGTGCCAGACTTCGAGCGTACAGTATGTGTTGTGTTCCACTGTGGCCGCCGTTTGTTGGGCAGTTGCACGCTCGCGTCGCCACACTGGCCGCCTCCCTGTCACGTCAACAACTGCTGTGCGGGGCACACCAGGACAGGCTAACACGGAGCTCGGACGTAGTTTTTGGGAGGAGGCAGAGCAGGTCTTGGTCAAACATGGCTTCCAACGAGGTGAAGGGGGTGCTGACGCTTCAAAATTCTGGGCTTTCTTTGACAGTAATCGTGCCTCTGACCCAGTACCGGCAGAGTACAGGGAGTTGGATTACCGACCTCTGGGGTTGTTTTATCCTGGGCTTCATGGTCACCATAAAGACGGCATTGCCGCCCCACTTCCATTCATATCACCTGAGTTGTACGACGGCCTTCCCGACATGTTGAAGTCTCACACGGCAGCCATTCAGCAGGAGGTTGAGTCGTTACCCGAGAAAGCATGGGAGCCGCAGGCTGGGCAGAAGGGGTGGGGCATGTTGGCATTGCGAGAAGTGGGCGTGCCAACTGCAGAGTACCGGTCGTACGCAGAACAGCTCCCATCAGTCTTGAAGTTGTTGGAGGCACTTGACACCGCTGGGCACATAGCACCCGAGAGTGTAAAGCTGTTGAGGCAAGCGCCTGGAACAGGGCTAAGCCCACACGCCGACGGTCTGAACATGCTCCTTCCTTGTCACCTTGGCCTCCGGATCCCCACATCGAACAGGGGGGCTACGGCTGCTGACAGCCGTCCATGGATCAAGTGTGGCGATGAGGTGCGCCATTGGGTAGAAGGGGAGGGCATCATATTTGACCAGACATTTATACACTCGACCTGGAACCCAACGTCGGAGGATCGCATTGTGTTGGCAATTGACCTGTGGCATCACAAGTTGAGCGCGATCGAGCGCCGAGCATTGGTGGTCTTCTTTGATTTCGTAAATAAGTGGAATGCCCGTTTTGAGATCGACTATGGCATGCATTTTCCCTACGGTACGACGTACACAAGGGTCTATGGTGAAGATGAGCGGTTGAGGGGACGTCTCAAGGAGGAGCGTTTGAGTGCGATTGTGCAGAGACTGGGTATCGCGCTATTTTGGTCATTGATGGCAAGCGCATTTTTTATCGTTAACAAATTGCACGGCTCTGAGACATAGCGATTCTAGGCCTGATTCAGGGCATCAGTTATCTTGTTGCGTGCGGCAAGTTCTGCCACCGTGCCAGCGCAGGACTCTGCAATGCGGCGCTTCGATCACCGCTCAGAAGGCCGTAAGATGTGACACCTTGTCGTCGGTATTTCTTGAGGTGCTTGATGGCTACCTGGGTCGGGGCCCCGGTGGGGCCGTCATGGGGGCCTTTGAGACCCTCTTGGGCCGTCTCGGGGACCTCTTAGGCCGTACTGAGCCCCTTGACCGTCAAAGAGTGGTTGTTTTTACGCCCATGTGGTGCGTTCGAGCGGTACGGATGAGCCGTTCTTATGGAAGGGAAGGGTTGTTCTTACATTAACCGATCTTTCAGTTATGAGTGTCATTCGTACGATAAGGGTGGATCGGTTTGCTCATGGGAGGCTCTGGGGGAGCGCCCTCCGAGAACGGTATGGGGGGCCCTCTCAGTTGTTTTGGGGAGCCCTCTGACGAGGGACTGGGGGCGGGTCACTTTGAGGATCTCCTAGGTGACTCTCTGAGAGGGGCATGATGGTGCCTCCGAAGGGAGTCTCTGGGGACGGTCTTGGGAAAACATTTGGGACCTTTTTGGGCCGTCTTGGGCACTCTTTGGGTCCCCATCGGCAGTGCTGGGGCCCTTTTGGGGCCGTCCTGGGCCGTGTGTCTGATCTGGGTTTTCCCAGAGGCCCTCTCGGCATTCTTTTTGTTCGTGCCGCGCGGGTCTCTCTCGCTCCTGTGGCGCCTCTCGGGCTTCTCCTGGGAGCTGCTGGGTGCCTCTTGCTCGAGTCAGTGCTGCACCATCTTGGCAGCGCTCAGGCCCTCACGGGTTCGTTCTGGAGGCCTCGGGGAGCCGTCGGGCCGCCCAGGGAGCCTCGGGAGGGGAATCGGGCTTCTCTTGAGAGCTGCTGGGTGCCTCTTGCTGGAGTCAGTGCTGCGCCATCTCGGCAGCTCTCGTGCCCTCACGGCGTCGTTCTGGCGTCAGTCAAGTCGGGCCTGTCCCTCTACGGGGGGAATATCCAAAAATAGTCAAAACATAGTCTTGGGACGATTTTTGCTTTGACCATGTTTGAGTAGTTTCGGGTACTTTGTTTGACTATTTTTTCATTTTTCGTCCAGAATCGGCCTGTGGGGGGACAGGCCCGACTTAATCTTACAGTCAACCCGCATCGCAAGGACGGGCAACCTTCCCAAGGGTACCCCTTTGCATCCTTGCGTCCTCGGTCCATCCTTGGCCACTTTCGTTGGCCGCGGCTTGCTTGAGAAGCTACAGAACGGCCTTCCACGGCCCCTGCATCCTTTTCGCGCATCCTTATGATACCGGCCGACTGTAATAGACTCGTGCAGGAACCATGCCAGACAATATTTCACATTCTGCCACGCCTCAGCGTGCCAGGGGGGCACAGCAGTGGGCTATCAGACCCTCCGTGCAGCCCCCCAATTGGGCCCGAGTTGCCTGTCGAGGAAAATGAGCAGAATCTTCTCGTGGTTCGATGTTTGGCGGGTTGTATGTTCAACAAGCACCTGCATCTGCACAGTTGTTCAACGCAGGTGCAGGTGCTTGTTCAGCAAGCACCTGCATCAGCACAGTTGTTCAACGCAGGTGCAGGTGCTTGTTCAACAAGCACCTGCATCAGCACAGTTGTTCAACGCAGGTGCACGTGCTTGTTCAACAAGCACCTGCATCAGCACAGCTGTGGTCAGGCCCGCGCGGGCTTCTTGTGTCGGCGCTGGACTTCGCCTGGCGGCACCTCCGGCGCCGCCCCTGGCCCGCTCCTCGCGCGCCAGGGGAGGGGGGGGGGTCTGATGGGCCTGTTTTCCACCACCACCACCATAAGTTGGAGGGGGAGGGGGTCCTCCTGCTCCTCCTCCTCCTCATCCTCCTCCTTCCACGCTCCAACTTATGGTGGTGGTGATGGTGGAAAACAGGCCCATCAAGGTCTAGCGCCGGCACAAGAACTCCGCACGGATCTGCGACAGCGCCTGCTTTTGATATTGTTTTGTTTTCCCATTCGGAGGGTTGGCGAGGCGGCTCGATTCGGAGCCAGATGTTTTAAACATGTGTCCGAACATCGGCGATACATCGTCGATGCTGTGTGACCCTCCAGCACAACGCCGTTTGCCCGCATCTGGCCGGCCTCTGCTCAAAGTTCCATGGATCGGAGGATTGCTCGCAGCAGCCTCGTGAGTCCCAGGTGCGCAGCAGCCCGTGCAGGACGCGCTTCGGCGCTCGTCGACACCTGTCCGCACATGGCTCGAATATCTCCCACGCCTGCCGACTGCGATTTACGAAAACATGGGACCTCGGGCTTCTGCAAGAAAGAGGTTTCGACTCGCTTCGTCATTTCGATGCGGTGTGGGGGTGGGGAGGGGGGCGTTCGGTGGAAGCTTTTTCCCGCCGGGGGGGTCTTCCACTGACAATGCGTTCGCATGATGTCTGTCTTCGTGGGGCGTCTGCCACGGTCCCCGCTGACGAGTCCGGCCGCGCCCCGCGCGCTGAGGTCGGAAGTCCTCCGCCTCCGAGGGCCCCTCCTCCCTCCTCCGCGGCCGCCCTTTTTTCCCCTCCTCCTGCATGCGGGGCAATCATTATGATGTTCCGACCTACTTTAGCCTCGATCACTAGAAAAATTTCGAGCACCAAACAAGTACCGAAACTCGAGGGTTTTTACGTATCGGGCCCTGGGAGACACTCGTCCGACACTGTTTCGACGCTCTTTCGACACTCTTTCGACACCTATCTGGGTGCTCGAAATTATTTCTGGGATGTGTTCCGTAAGTGAGATGGCAGCAACAGAAGGCAATTCGCGTCTCGGTGCCCTCGTTCAGCTCTATCGCTGGTGCAGCCATTCTGCCCTGCCGCCGGCGAGAAGAGTGTTCGGGGGGGAGGGTGTTTTGACAAATCAGTGTCAAGCCGACACTTCTCACAGTAAGTTGGTGCTTGTTTCTTGTTGACGTGTTCTGCGTTGTTCGAACCACTGGAGTAACATGGCGACACGCATGGTCGACATGAGCGAGTCTGTCTTTGCTTGTGCTTCACTACTTGCCAAGCACCCCGGCCCCACCCGAATGTCCCAGACACTCCCCCTAATTTCGGGTTGGGGGGTGTACGAGTTCCACGGTGTTTCCTCAATGTTCCAGAACGTCCCCCGCTGGAAGTTGATACGCCCAACGGCGATTTCGGGTCGGGTTGGGGTGGCTTGGTGGGTAGTCAGGGCTACGTGCACGCATTTGTATATTTTACATCTACATACATAGATAGATGGGCATACACCTATGACCATGAAGTATGCGATACCCACTTCTGTAGTGAGACAGTCTTCGCGCAACAGGTTGCAGCTGAAGTCTGTAGTAATGGTTATTGCGGTGTAAGTGTTCGATCCTCGAGCAGCCCTCCCACATCGTTCACCGTCGTGGGCTGTAGTGCGAGCTGGCTTGCAGTTGTAAGAGCTGCCAGCGGATCGCGGTCACCGCTTCCTTCTGGAGGTGCTGGCGTTCCCCTCCCGCTCTTGCGCGCGCAGGAGCGCGCGCACGGGAGCAGGAGGCGGGAGGAGAGAGACGAGGAGGATCAGGAGCAGGAGGAGCACGACGAGGGAGCCTGGGCCTCCGAAATCGGTGGCCAACAAGGGCTCCCGCGTCGTTGCCCCCCCCAACCGTTGTCCCCCCCCCATACTGTTTCGTCGGCGGCGAGGCGGAGGCGATCCGCACCAGCGTTGGGCTAGTCGGGGGCGCCGATCGGCAAATCGTCCGGCGTGCAAGAGGGCGACGAGGAGAGGAGGGCGGCCGCGCCCCCCCGCCCCCCCCATACAGTCAGGCCGAGGTATACGATCGAGGTCGGCTCGGGGAGGGCACCCTCGCGTTCTTCGTGTTTGGTGGGCGTTCTGGTGCATCCTTTGGGAGGGTACCCTCGGATGCTCGGCTGGTTTTGGCCGACGGAGGGTCGCACGATCTTTGAGGGATGCTCCTCTGGCCCAGGTCCCGCTGTCAAGCTGTCCGCGGCCTGCTGCCGCCGGGGTGTCGCTCTGCTTGCCCAGGCCGTCGCCCACCTCGTGCGAGGCCTCCCGGCGTCCCGCCGGAGTGCCTCGACGCCTCCGCGGGGCGGGCGCCCCGACGCGGCGACTCGTCCCGGGGGCGGCCGCGCGGCCGCGGCCGCGGGCCCCGGCGGCCTCTCCTCGTCCGTCCCGCCCGTGGGCGTCTGGGGCTCCCCGTTGCTTCCTTCGTCGGGAGCCTCGAGACGAGGGCCAGCCAGAGCGC